TTCAAGGCTTTTGGAAATACCCGTTCAAGCCTCAAAGGACCTACAAGGACAAGTTTTTCGTAACCCCGGAAGAATATGTCCAAGTGGATATGATGACGCAAACGGGAAGGTTCAAATATGGTAATGTATGGGAGTTCTTCCTTTATACAAAATGAACCTCCCTACCTTTCCTTGTGTCCAGTTTCCGTTATTACATATTTTTTCCCATTTTCATTGCGTTTGTATCGATTGTCGCAAATCAAAATCAATTATGTGTTCATTAGGTGTCTTTCTCTTTATGGGAACATGTACACAATTCCAACACAGAACAAGTTACCTTACAATGCAAAGAAATCGTAAAATGAATCACCTGTTATCAACGAACTTCAAATATGTCCAACTCCGTTCCAGTGGACTCGGAGAAGCTTCACGCCCAGGTGCTGGAGATGCCCTACAGGGCGACGCCGTGTCCATGGTGGTGCTCCTCCGCGATATGGGAGAGCCAAGGAGGTGGACAGGCTGGTCCGACGCCTGAGGCCCAGGAGACTCGTGTCTGTGGTGAAGGCGATGCCCTCCGTCCCGCTGATAGTCAAGTTTCCCAAGATCAGCGTGGAGAGTACTCTCGGGATGAACATTTCGGTATGTTTGAATTAGGGCAAGGTAAGCGAACCTGGTAGTTTGGGAATGGTAAGCAAAGGGTCGTAGTTTACTCACAAATTGAGGTATAATCTGCTATCACAAACGTATATATAATATATATATATATATATATATATATATATATAATACTATATATATATATATATATATATATATATATATATATAATATATATATATATATATATATATATATAAAGTACCAACAGGAAACTTTCCTCAGTACAGCCTAGAGCAGCCCGAGGGATATTTGCTGTTTCAGTCTTACAGGCGGCCGTTTTGAATGATTAATTAAGCCAATACTTACCTTTTACATTCATCACTTACATTCCTATTTTTTTATTCTGTCTTTGCAATGAATGAAAAAGCGCATGTCATTCTGATATTTATACATACATATTAGAATGTATATATACATACGCATATATATGTATATATAAATGTGTATATATTCATATATAAGTGTATATATATATTTACTTATTTATTTATTTATATGTATATACATATACATCCATATATGTATATATGTACACACACATATAAATATATTATATAATATATATATAATATATATATATATATATATATATATATTATATATATATATATATAATATATATATATAATATATATATATATATATATATATATATGGTATGCGGGCTAAGTGTGTTCACTGGCTGATCCCAACGCCTGTGAAATTAGGATCGTCATGAAAAAATAATCATATATAATGTGTTACCATTAGGATCATTCAAAATGTGATAGGTAAAATAAACTTAACGTTCAATCATATAATACCAGTATAAGAAACGTAATCCTGGGAAGCCAGATGTAAACCTCTGTTGGACCTCAAGATGGTGGCTGAAGGGAAAATTGGCTCGCGTAGGGTTTTGAGTTTTAAACACTCCGAGCTTACATATCATACCATTACTTCAGTAAAGATTCTGCGCATCTGGTTGCAAAATCGTTACATATTGGTAATAGATATCCCTGAAAGATTAAACTTAGTCTTGCTACTTATTTATCTAAACTGAGAGAGCAATAAACGATTATTTAATGAAATGAAATACTGATAACCTATTAAAAACTGTTTTGCTTCTTGTAGCGAAATCATGACGCAAAATACCTTTAAAAAATAGCTCGTATCCACGCCTTCCTTCTCCAGACTTTAAGAATATGGGAATCCGTGACCTTTTCTCATCCGCCGCCGATCTGACCGACTTCACACATGTTCGAGGATTAATGGTGAATGGAGCGATCCACAAGGCCCTTATAGAGGTGGACGAAGAAGGCGCAGAGGCGGCAGCGGCGACGGTGCTCGCTGTGACTAAGTCTAGTCCAATGCCTCCAAAGACGACGTTCACGTGCAACCGGCCCTTCGTTTTCTACATTAAAGATAACGAGGCGAACAACATCCTGTTCATGGGTGTTTATAGGGGTCTTTGAGGGTCCTCTGCTGGACCTTGTTATCATTATGGTTGGCATTGTTCTCGTTGATTTTAACGTTATTATTATTATCATTATTATTTTCTTGTTATTCTTGTTATTATTATTTTATTATCATTGTTATTGTTATTATTATCATAGGTATTATCATTGGGTATTATCATTGTTATTGTTGACATAGGTATTATCATTGTTATTGTTATTATTATCATAGGTATTATCATTATTATCATTAAGATTATTATTATGATAATTATCATTATATTAAATATTAATTGCATTCGATTGTTATTTTCTTATCTCTATTATTGCATTTCAACATTATCATTATTATTATTACAACTAGTGTTACTATTTTCATCATTATGGTTATTATTATCATTACTACTGCTATTATATAAAACATTATTGTTATCTTCATTATTGCCACTATTGATATTGTTAGTGTCAAATTTTGTTAGTTTGCCTCCCCTCTTTAAAACTAACACAAAATCATCATTACCATCATTTTTATGCCCCTGACTATACCGTAAAGGACCACGTACTGAAGACCCAGAGGAGACCAAACACTGTTCACACCCCTTCTGTATAAAGTAAAGTAAGCTATGCCAGAGTAAATCCATTGATATTAAGTTGCTTAAATAAAAGTAACTGAGAGAAAATAAACCCTAAAAGGTAATAGTTATTAAAACCACTTGGAATCATAGTTATGTAAAGAGCATTAAAAAAAAAAAAAAAAAAAAAAAAGCGTGACCTGAGAATCAGATGAAGTATATCAACCTATTGAATCATAATCCTTCCTCAAAAAAGATATATCGTTGTAAACCAGATTAATCCTACTGACGCTCCAGACTGTTTAAAGCGTGCCATTTTTCCTCTTTCCAAGAAAGAGGGTTAAACAAACCTATTTATCGATCCTAGTAGTGACATTGCTGAAACTTTTATGAATGCGCGTGTGCGTTAATGATCAGCAGAAACAAATATGGGCTGATCTTCCAGTGCGAGGTTGCCTTGAGCAGAGGCACAGGAAGCGGGATCGGCCGAACGAAGCCCAAGTCCCAAACACGAGGAAGGCCATCAGGAGGAAAACTGCAAGGAACTTCATTGTGATCTTTTTACTGTAAAGAAATCAAGTTATGAGACAAAGATAAGGATAGGTCCGATATGCGAAGCTGAGCTTCGCCCGGCCTGTGCCAACTAATGTTGACTTGATCAACGTGTGTCAGCTAGTGCAACAGAGGTAGCAATTACCTCAGGGCGACAATTGCAACTTTTCACTACTGGTCGGGGCGCGTTACCACTGTACTATCCTGAAGGTTTAATGATAAGGCAGGTTTTTGGAGTATTTTATACCTAGGACATGATCTTGGGGGTCTGGGATTTGACGGACGACCTGGGGAACTAGATGGTTTGGGAAAGCTTTGGGAACGTCATATGATTCCATCTGAATATGCAATAATTTGTTTGTTTGCCATTTCTAGGAAATTTGACTGAAAACTGAATTTACTACAAATTCCAATAACGTGGTTTGTCAGAGGGTGACTATGGGATATCATTGTCAAATATCATTCAGGAAAACAAAAAAACCAGGATTATTTTCTGATTTTTATCCCTATTAAAACTAACCAAAACACATTTTAAATCGTCGTCTGGAGTATACTGTAAACTGAAATGTGTGTGTGTATATACATATTTTATGTATGTCATAAATATGATATATATCATATATATACACACATAAATACAATGTATTGCAGATACTATCATAATTCATATTATGTTTTACAAATATACCATATACATTATATATATTATATATCATATACATTATGTATATCATATAACACATACATTTATATATATCATACATCATATACATCATTTATATACAATATATTTTGTATTATATATATCATCCTTTATATATATTGTTTATACGATATTATATATATGATATTATTATATATGTTATATAAATTATAACATATAAATTATATATATTATACTATATTATTATATATATATATTTTATATATTATATATATTATATATACTATATATATATATATATATATATATATATATATATATATATATATATATATATATATTACATATATATATATATATATTATATATATACATATGTATATATATATATATTGATTACTTATATTATAATTATTATATACATAGATTCCATATTTATATGCATCATATATTATATACAGGTGGTCCCCTACTTGCGAACTTCCGAGTTACAAATTTCGGTACATACGAACAAAGCTGTCAGGAGGGAGTGAGAGTAGCGCGCGTCGTAAACTATAGCTCTCTCACTGTACCCACAAGGTCTCATTCAAACGTGTGTTGTACGCTCTCCAGAAAACTTTGTGATTTTGTGATTATTTTTGTAATTGTATTTTTGCTAAATACGATAAAATAAAAGAGTTATGGCTAAATCTCTGACCCCCCCCCCCATCTGCCTCCAGCTCCGATGTTTACTTTGTCGCGTCTGAGCAAATATACCCAACATTTTTTTTTCGATTTATTTTGGTATTCTCTGGTAACTAGCTGGCAACTCTGTTTGCAGCACAGCTGGCAGTTACTACAAAGAGACAAGGTTGGCAGTCACCAGGAGAGAGCAGAGCAAGATGAAATCCGTCCCATACCTCGGGCGACACCATCCCTGATGCGCCCTCATCACATAATAGGCCACTACTAATGATCAGTGTTATTCCTGTAACTAATTAACATAATATGATGAGAAAACATCTCAATCACAGCTGCAGCAGTCTTTTATTTTCTATGAAATGCCTCGAAGCACTGCAAGCCTCTGGTGACCTGCGGTACTTCTACAATCATGTGCACTCATTGCCATTAGTCCTTTGGAAAAAAAAGGGGGGGGGTACACTTCAGAATACATGTGAATGCCATAGAATGCATCAAGGGTTGACTCAGAGATCAGATTTCCAAAGAAAAAAAAAAAAAATGGAGGAAAAATATCGTCAACTTCAAAGCCTGATATCTCAAAACTTCGTTCGTACTAGATGAATCGTTCTACGGTACAATATCGGTACAATACTCAAGAACAAGGATAAGATTATGGAACATGTGAAAAGTTCAGTCCCTATGCATTCTACTGTTATTAGTAAGAAACGTGGAAAAGTGATTGCAGAACTTGAAAAACTTCTGAGCATTTGGATGAAGGTTGTTCAAAGCACATTAAAAACCACCGAAAACCACTGCATTGTTTATACCGGAACGTCCGAAAGTAGAGCTAGTTGTACAGTAATCATAACATACCGTACGCCCTACTACGGACATACGAACAAACGTACTTACGAACAGCCCTGGAACGGAACATGTCGTAACACGCGGACTACCTGTATATTATATATACTACATATTATATATCATGTACACATATATATATATATATATATATATATATATATATATATATATATATATATATATATGTATATAAATAAATATATATGTATGTATCGTTAGAAGTTAGTAATATGTATAATATATCGGTACAAAGTGGTAATATATCCTTTAAAGATTAAACTTAGCCTTACTATTTTAAATCTAAAATTAGAAAGCAAAAAAAACGATTATTTGATGAAATGGAGTACAGATAAATTGTAACATTTTTTTTCTTCTTTGTAACGAAATCATGACATAAAATACCTTAATATATATATATATATATATATATATATATATATATATATATATATATATATATATATGCATCGTATCCACGCCTTCCTTCTCCAGACTCTAAAAAAATGGGAATCCGTGACCTTTTCTCCTCCACCGCCGATCTGACCACTTCTCACCTGACGGAGGACTACTGGCGAAGAGAGGGATCCACAAGGCCCTTGTAGAGGTGGGCCTTGAGCATCCTCTGTTGGACCTTTGTTATTATTATGGTTGGCATTGTAGTTGTTGATAACCATGTTGTTTTTGCCTTCATTATTTGTTTTAGTTTTGTAATCTATACTGCTATTGTTGTGGTTATTGTTTTTTTTCAGTGGAGAAAGCGAAACATAGAATTTATCTGTATTAACGAACACTTAGTTTATAATTCCAAATCACGTTTCCCGCTGCATGTCCTGCTGTCAAATAGCATCATTGCAATGTAAACGTGACCCGAATTTGCAACATTCGTTTCCCGTTTTAATTACAATTAAATGAACGCTGTGTTTTTGTTTTGAGAATATCAATTGGCATCTGTAATGTTTATTCTATAATGCATTGCACGACTCTGCGATGTATATCAGCGTGAGTCCCAGGCGCCTCTCAGTAGTAGGTGAAAGTGCGTTGCGTGAGAAAGACTTCTCGCGCTCGTCTGTCACTTTAGGTCGCTGCGTTGGTGCTGGTGTCGAGACTCTCTTGGTGAGCACTGTGTACCGGTGTTTTGTATGATTTGTATGCTGATGTATATCATCGGCCGGTTTGTTAATACTGTGCGAAGCCTGATCCAATTATTATGAATATGAATGTAGACAGACAAATGCATATATCTGCCGGATAGATAGATAAATAATGTATATCTATCAGATAGATAAAGAAATAAGCCTTTATTTGCATGTATTTATGTATGAATATTCATTGGGTCGGGCCTCGCACAATTTTAACAAACGTCTCGCACACAGAATTTCAAGAACTTAATTTTCAAGATAATTTCATAACTTAATGAAAGTGGTTAACATATGATCATATCACTAACCATTCATTAACAGTGAATACAGGACACCCTGTATGATAAGACGTTCATCTGTATGACGATGTTAAAATTCTGAATATGAGAATCAAATCATCCCCAAAACATGTATCGCTTTGTGATCAAATTCAAGCACAGGTTTTTCATTATAGTTCAGATTTATAGTGTAGTAATTAAATCTTAGTTTTGTAACAAATATACACTTACACAGAGAGACGTGGCACCAAACATAGATCATAAAAGACAATAAACTACGGTTTATATAGGTTCAGTGTATGATTATTACGTGCTTGAATGAATTATGAATAAACCAGATGTAGAGGGGTAGTAAAATATTCACAGGAACAGCCTCGCTAACTCAGTAATCCCTAGCTTGTTAAAGTCTCACACAGACCATCGTTGGTGTTTTCTGTTTTATATGAATATTCATTTTTCTAACAGTTATTATGAAGTTCTTGACCTTTTCCAATCTGATCCGAATGTAAACAATTTAGAAAGGCTTTGAGTTTGGAAATTAAAACCCAACCTTAATAAATACCTTTTTTTCCATTGACACAATTTAATGGTGTACCCATAATTTATGCAGGCTTTCTTTTTTTTCGATTTGAATTGGTCGGTGTGTTTCTGTTCTGTAACTGGCCAGACCCTCTACTCTATCCATGAGGCTCAGATGGTGGACATGGCTGCCTGGATTTTCCTTAGTTTTTGGAAGTTTCTGTAGTTAGTATTTTGTGGTTTTGCATATTAAGTCATTCATTAGCACATCTAGATTCTCAACACACCATTTCTTCTTTCTTCCAACGAGGTCGGTTTGGAGAGTGCCGTCCACTGCGACCTAACACGTTATCGTACTTGTCCGTTTATCATACCTCTGGTTCAGGTAAACGTTTTCTATAAAGCCGCTAGGAGACTGGAATATTAGATTGTGAAGTTATTGTTCTATTATCGATTTATATTGTGTAATTTAAACTTTCAGCAGTGTATTTCGTAGTTTGGATTTCGCTTTTCCAGAGTCGCACTAAGGAGGCAACCCTATATGCTGTCCAGTCTAAGAAAAGGAAATGTTGGCAACTCATCACTTTCTATGGAATACTCCGATTCGACAGTTCGTTTCTGAGGAATAAATAATGATGAGTTGCAAAGTAAAAAAAATATAACTTTTGTGCTTTTTATATGACTATTGTGTCAGCTACTTCATAAAAAGAGGGCTGGGCGAATCGGAGTGCCCCAGAGTGTGCTGTGTTGAGTTGCCAGTTCGTTATTTCCTGAAACTGGATGCACCATAGGAGGAATTTGATTTTTTTTCTGGTTATTAAACAGGGTTGACGGTGCGTTGCTGGTATATTTCCACCGTTAATTTACATCGTAGTTTCTTTGGCAGGATTTTTTTTTTATACAGTACGATGCCCTTTCAACTGCCAACCCTTCACATTTACACACACACACACGCACTTAGGAGTATATATATATATATATATATATATATATATATATATATATATATATATATATATTATATATGTTTATATATATGTATGTCTATATATGCATTATACATATATACATATACATGTATATATTCATCTATCTACACACACACATATATGTATATATATACACATATATGTGTGTATACATATATATATAAGTATATATACAAATATATACACATATGTATGGTTATACACTTATATATGAATACATATATGTGGTGCATATATATATATATATATATATATATATATATATATATATATATATATATGTGTGTGTGTGTGTGTGTGTGTGTGTGTGTGTGTGTGTGTGTGTGTGTGTGTGTGTGTGTGTCTGTGTGTGTGTGTCTATACATATGTATATATATGCACACACACATCTGACCTCAGACGCACATTTCGATCTGTATAAACAAAATTCAAATCTGGTCAGGTACCCCTTACATAACAATTGTCCAATTCAAAACACCTGCACAGCCAAACCCTGTCGAATAATTCATCTCTTTATTATTGTTACGGCTTCACTTTTTTGCTTTACTTTGCATAATAACACAGATATATAGACACATACACACACATGCAGAGAGAGAGAGAGAGAGAGAGAGAGAGAGAGAGAGAGAGAGAGAGAGAGAGAGAGAGAGAGAGAGAGAGAGAGAGAGCGAAACATGGAACTTATCCGTTTTAATAACTTAGTTTATAATTCCAAATCACGTTTCTCGCTGCATTTGCTGTTATGCCAAATAGCATCATTGCAATGCAAACGTGACCCGAATTTGCAATATTCGTTTCCTGTTTTGATTACAATGAAGGGAACACTATTTGTATTTTTGTTTTGAGAATATCAACTGTTCCTTGATTTCACTTCAGTCTCAGCTATTGCAAAATCAAGGGCATGTGCTGGCACTTGTTATATGTTTATTCTGCAATGCATTGTACGACTGACTTGTTCCCATTGTAGTCCAAACACGAAAAGAATAATACATATTTTCATGACCCTGGTAGGATTTTTACTGATTATTTATATTACCATGATTATAAAATTGTAAGAAATAAATTAAGCCTCTTTTTCGAGACCAACCAAAGGCTCAAATCAATTATTCGTTATTCGTTATTACTCTACTTGTTCGAGTTTGATTTAAATAGCATAGTTTGTAAAAGGACTAAATCAGTTAAATCTATTTTCTGGTTTGTTATTTTATATATAAATGAGTGGATGATGATAAAGATGATATTAAGATGACTGAGGTGGGTGGCGGTGATAATATTAAGGATGGCAATAATAATGATGGTAGTAATTATGATTATCACAGTTTTATTGATAATGATAATAATGATGATATAATGGTAAAATGATAAAGCAATAGTATAATGATAATAATGATGATAATGATAATAATGATGATTATGATAATAGTGATAATAAAGACTGATAATAATGACAATGATAATAGCAATATTAATGAGGATATGATGATAATGATAATAGTAATAACAATAATGATAATCTTAATCGTAATCAATATTATCATAATTATAATCATAATGATTATGAGTATAATGATAGAAATAATTATAATAATAATAATTATGTAAAATAAAGATAATACAAAGTGGCGATTATTTGAATTAAGGATATATGAACAAGCAAGACCACACAAATGCAGAGATTTAGACATAATCATAATTTTTACTGATTATTTATATTTTTTTTAAATTATAAAAACGTAAGAAATAAATAGTTACGACTCTTTTTCGAGACCAACCAAAGGCTCAAACAGATAAGTATTCGTTATTCTTATGATGTAGTGGAATAACTCTTGTACGAGTAAGATACGGATTAAATAATATAGTTTGTAGAGAATGTATTCTGTGCCTTGTTATGTATTATTGTAATTTACATTTGGGTTTGTGTGCATTTGGATACTAAGAAAGATAAATGAATGGATGATAATAATGACGATGATGATGGCGGTGGTGATAATAGTAATGGTGATAAGGATCAATATGATAGCAATAGTGATAATGATAATGATAAATATGAAAGCAATAGTTATAAAAATAATAAATGCGATAGCAATAGTAATAATGATAATGATAATAAAATGATGAAAATTGTAGTAATAATAATGACTGTAATAATAATGACAATGACAGTAGTAATGAAAATGATAATATAGTAGTAATAGCAATGGTGCTAATGATAATCGTTATAGGAATCATTATCATTATCCTTATTATAATTACAATAATCATGATAAAAAATAATGATAAAAAAATAATAAGATTAAATTAACCCTAGGAGCCGATTCTTTGAGCAAAGGATTTATGAATAGGCAAGACCAAATAAATGCAGAGATCTAAACATAATCAACAGATGAAATGTCGGCTCTCGCGGTCTCTCTGCGATGTATATCAGCGTGAGTCCCAGCCGCCTCTCAGTAGTAGGTGAAAGTGCGTTGCGTGAGGACTTCTCGCGCTCGTCTGTCACTTTAGGTCGCTGCGTTGGTGCTGGTGTCGAGACTCTCTTGGTGAGCACTGTGTACCGGTGTTTTGTATGATTGTATGCTGATGTATATCATCGGCCGGTTTGTTAATACTGTGCGAAGCCTGATCCAATTATTATGAATATGAATGTAGACAGACAAATGCATATCTGCCGGATAGATAGATAAATAAATGTATATCTATCAGATAGATAAAGAAATAAGCCTTTATTTGCATGTCTTTATGTATGAATATTCATTGGGTCGGGCCTCGCACAATTTTAACAAACGTCTCGCACACAGAATTTCAAGATGATTTCATAACTTAATGAAAGTGGTTAACATATGAACATATCACTAACCATTCATTAACAGTGAATACAGGACACCCTGTATGATAAGACGTTCATGTGTATGACGTTAAAATTCTGAACATGAGAATCAAATCACCCCAAAACATATATCTCTTTGTGATCAAATTCAGATAAAGATTTTTCATTATAGTTCAGATTTGTAGTGTATTAATTAAATCTTAGTTTTGTAACAAATATACACTTACACAGAGAGACGTGGCACCAAACATAGAGCATAAAAGACAATAAACTACGGTTTGTGTAAGTTCAGTGTATCATTATTGTGTGCTTGATGGAATTATGAATAAACCAGATGTAGAGGAGTAGTAAAATATTCACAGGAAAAGCCTCGCTAACTCAGTAATCTCTAGCTTTTTAGTCTCACCACAGACCATCGTTGGTGTTTTCTGTTTTATATGAATATTCAGATTTCGTAAGGAATTTATGTACTGCAAATCGCATATGGTAACTGTTGACTGCTGATGTGTTGAGGTGACTGAAAGATATTGCGCCGTTCTTCTCAGCATTTTGCCTCCCACCTCATAAGGTCTATTTGCAATCTATAGTTAGGCGAACATGCAATATCGGTTATATGTTTCCTGTGCACCCTATAGTTTTGTGTATACTGCAACCCGTGTCTGAGTCGCTTATTTCTAAACCGTTCATTGCGACAAAATAATAAGACCAGATATCTTAATAGTGCTAATGTATCTGGCTCGCTTTTGTCTATAGTTAGAAATACATAATATTTTGACTAAGATATATACATGTGCGTGTGTGTGTTTCTATATTCAAATACCAGTGTGTGCGTGACCTTTCAGAACCATGAGAGTGTGCGTGCTGCTCCCCGCCCTCGCCCTCCTGTCACGGGCCAGCTGTCAGTGCCTCTCCTCCTCCGACACCTCGCCGCCCCCGCGGCTCCCGATTCTCAGGCGGACGACCCTTCAGCCTCGACTTACTCAGAAGGCTCTCCCTCCGTCGGGGAACTTCTTCATCTCGCCCTTCAGCGTCTGGAGCGCCCTCGTCCTCGCCTACTTCGGCTCCCGAGGCAACACGAAGGCGGAGCTGGAGCAGGTTCTGCGGCTCACCAACAGGAGGACACGCTCGCCCTGTTCAGGGCCCTCGAACGGCGGTGAGTGGGTTGACGCGATTAAACCTACCGAGTGAACCGTTAAGAGAGGTGGTAGGTAGATTGATATATATATATATATATATATATATATATATATATATATATATATGTATGTATGTATGTGTATATGTGTGTGTGTGATTCTGTGTGTGTTTGTGTAAAACATTAACACAGTAACGTGTATACAAAAATTATAAAGAACAACAAAAAGATTTTTTAAATTCATATTGTTGGTTTATTCATTTTCGTGTATATGTATATAAAAGTATATATATATATATATATATATATATATATATATATATATATATATACATATATATATATATATATATATATATATATATATATATATATATATATAGAGAGAGAGAGAGAGAGAGAGAGAGAGAGAGAGAGAGAGAGAGAAATGGACATGAATACCTTGATGATAACAAAAAGGATCATGATTTTATAATGCAAGTAATAACATTATCAGATAATAATTTCTACTAAAATAACACGACTGCAGCTATGACTCCCAAGAAGCAAACCAGAACTACACCATCAACTCGGCTAACAGGATATACTTCGACCAGTCCATTCCCGTCCGAGAATGCGTGGGAAAAGTCCTCGACGACCAAGTGAAGTTAATAGACTTTAATAGGGTAAGAAACACTTGGCTTACAGCTTTATTTTCCTGCCTACTAGATGTGGGGAGTCTTCATCACTTGTAACATCGCAGCATATCCAAAATAGGGATATCAGAACTCATGTAGTTACAGATTCATGGCTCAGTGAGGATACGAACATCATTCTTTATATAAAAGCACAGCTTATAAGTTATGGTCTAATGTTTTGATTATGTCTCTGCAAAAAGAGGGTAATCTACACATACATTTGCATTAAATCACTACATTATCACTTCGTATATACATACAATCTCTGTAACCTGACATTGTATTTCAATTTGTGATACGTTTCCATCAAGTGGTTAAGGGAGTTCTCTGGCAATCTTGGTCTAGTACGAGAAGACAGAAATATGAGCCGAGGCACAGTGATAAAACCTTTTAAGCCTTAAACAAAGTGAAGCACTTCAAACTTTATAGTTTAAACCTCGGGCGCAGTGTGAAAGCCTTCCGTACAAGAGGGCAGATCTGTTCAGCAGACTTACTTTGATCTTGAGTAACAGAGAAAAGCCTTCTGTGGTGATCATTTAATGTATGTAGAATGAACCAACTTCTTCAGTGCTTTAGGGCGTCTTCTGTACGTGCCATAAAAGTTAATCCAGAATTAAAGTTTAATCCAGATCTCTAGTGCGCATGCGCAATGGCAGCGTCCATTATCAACTTTTATTTCATCTCTGGACCAGCATTCACTTTTGAGCTCGTACTTTAATCCTGCCATGCTCAAAATGAGCTAGTTAGTCGCACCATTCAGGTAAAAAGGATGAAGTCGAGTTGCCATAAATGTTTATTATTGCGAATAATGAAACTAATTCTGGCATTTTCATGCTAAAGATGTGTATAAACTTTTATCAACATATATTTTCATAAGTCGTGGGATACTTAAACTGCAGAAATAACTCTCGAAAAAAACGAAAGGAAATCCCACAAATAATTCCAGAGTTTCAATAACATCACGATTAGGTTTCAGATTTAAAGTACAAACTTTCTGAATCTTTATATTACAATGCCTTCAAAACTACGTGGGAATTTGTTATCATATTCCTCGACAGCAACAAAACACGAAAAAACTCTCGGAGAAAACTCTCCGCAGAAATAAACTGATGTAACTTTTGTTTAACAGCTACAGTTCTGTTGCCTATAAAAAGAGCATTTGAAGTCCTTTATCTGGATTTAGTTGTAACACAAATGCACATCCTCATGCTATAAGACTGCCGTATGTATATATATATATATATATATATATATATATATATATATATATATATATATATATATATACTGTGTATATACTTTTTTTTTTTTTTTTTTTTTTTTTTTTTTTTAGCAAACGTCTCGGTAACAGCATTAGCGTGCGATATGAAACTCAAAGAGTTTGCTAATTTCGACTACACAAATGCCCGCTCTTAATTGTAAAAGAACAGATTTACTGATGATCGCATGGACGCGTGCGTCTGGTATTGTGTATTACATCTATGAAAGTACAGTGGATTTGGATGAAACTTTAATCTGGATTTAACGCTGCGTTCGGAACTGCTCGTCTATCTCGTCCAGCCCAGTTGGACAAGATGTTTTGACCGTTCGGAACTTCCACAATCTCGTCCCGGACAAGTATTCTGGCTCGTCCAACTCGCCCCTCCTGCGAACCTGGGCGAACAGGACGAGATGACGTCACAGTAATTTTATGTAAACATTGACAGTTGTAGGTAACCGCAAGATATTGGTGGGTAATTTTATAACCCTTTATTGGTGTTATCAAAGGATATTTTTGTGTTTGTCAGTTGCAGGTAAGTTAAATATGCATCAAAGGAGTTACAAAACCTATGCAGCGTGTAAAATAAAGACACCAGTATGAAAAAAAAAAAAAATAAAAAATAAAAATAAATAAAAAATAAATAAAATATGTTTACCTTGGAGCCGGTTGCATTCTGGGCAGAAAGGGTCTTGGAGGTTCGAACGCGGCCCACTTGTCCTGCGTCTGGACAAGGTGTCTGGACGAGCAAGACGAGCAGTTCCGAACGCAGCATAACTTTTATGACGCGTACAGAAGAGACCTTGTACAAGAAAAAAATCCTTTCAAGTTTTTAAAACAGATACATTTCTTTAAAGGATCTTTAAACTCCAGACCGAAATAATCAAACCTGAATCTGCCATCAGCCCGACGCCGCCGCTGCTGACATCAATGCCTTCATCAACGCCGAAACGCGAGGAAAAATACCAAAGCTTATAGAACCCTCCTTTGTTGAAGACGCTAAAATGGTCTTAACTAACGCCGTCTACTTCAAAGGCTTTTGGAAATACCCGTTCAAGCCTCAAAGGACCACAAGGACAAGTTTTTCGTAACCCGGAAGCTGTCCAAGTGGATATGATGACGCAAACGGGAAGGTTCAAATATGGTAATATGGGAGTTCTTCCTTTATACAAAATGAACCTCCCTACCTTTCCTTGTGTCCAGTTTCCGTTATTACATTTTTTTCCCCATTTTCATTGCGTTTGTATCGATTTGTCGCAAATCAAAATCAATTATGTGTTCATTAGGTGTCTTTCTCTTTATGGGAACATGTACACAATTCCAACACAGAACAAGTTACCTTACAATGCAAGGAAATCGTAAAATGAATCACCTGTTATCAACGAACTTCAAATATGTCCAACTCCGTTCCAGTGGACTCGGAGAAGCTTCACGCCCAGGTGCTGGAGATGCCCTACAGGGGCGACGCCGTGTCCATGGTGGTGCTCCTCCCGCGAAGTGGGAGAGCCAAGGAGGTGGACAGGCTGGTCCGACGCCTGAGGCCCAGGAGACTCGTGTCTGTGTTGAAGGCGATGCCCTCCGTCCCGCTGATAGTCAAGTTTCCCAAGATCAGCGTGGAGAGTACTCTCGGGGATGAACTCATTTCGGTATGTTTGAATTAGGGCAAGGTAAGCGAACCTGGTAGTTTGGGAATGGTAAGCAAAGGGTCGTAGTTTACTCACAAATTGAGGTATAATCTGCTATCACAAACGTTATATATATATATATATATATATATATATATATATATATATATATATATATATATATATATATATATACATATACATATATATATATATATATATATATATATATATATATATATATATATATATATATATATATATATATATATATAAGTACCAACAGGAAACTTTCCTCAGTACAGCCTAGAGCAGCCCGAGGGATATTTGCTGTTTCAGTCTTACAGGCGGCCGTTTTGAATGATTAATTAAGCCAATACTTACCTTTTACATTCATCACTTACATTCCTATTTTTTATTCTGTCTTTGCAATGAATGAAAAAGCGCATGTCATTCTGATATTTATACATACATATTAGAATGTATATATACATACGCATATATATGTATATATAAATGTGTATATATTCATATATAAGTGTATATATATATTTACTTATTTATTTATTTATATGTATATACATATACATCCATATATGTATATATGTACACACACACACACACTATATTATATATATATATATATATATATATATATATATATATATATATATATATATATATATATATATATATATATATATATATATATATATATATATATATGGTATGCGGGCTAAGTGTTCACTGGGCTGATCCCAACGCCTGTGAAATTAGGATCGTCATGAAAAAAAATCATATATAATGTGTTACCATTAGGATCATTCAAAATGTGATAGGTAAAATAAACTTAACGTTCAATCACATAATACCAGTTAAGAAACGTAATCCTGGGAAGCCAGATGTAAACCTCTGTTGGACCTCAAGATGGTGGCTGAAGGGAAAATTGGCTCGCGTAGGGTTTTGAGTTTTAAACACTCCGAGCTTACATATCATACCATTACTTCAGTAAAGATTCTGCGCATCTGGTTGCAAAATCGTTACATATTGGTAATAGATATCCCTGAAAGATTAAACTTAGTCTTGCTACTTATTTATATCTAAACTGAGAGAGCAATAAACGATTATTTAATGAAATGAAATACTGATAACCTATTAAAAACTGTTTTGCTTCTTGTAGCGAAATCATGACGCAAAATAGCTTTAAAAAATAGCCTCGTATCCACGCCTTCCTTCTCCAGACTTTAAAGAATATGGGAATCCGTGACCTTTTCTCATCCGCCGCCGATCTGACCGACTTCACACATGTTCGAGGATTAATGGTGAATGGAGCGATCCACAAGGCCCTTATAGAGGTGGACGAAGAAGGCGCAGAGGCGGCAGCGGCGACGGTGCTCGCTGTGACTAAGTCTAGTCCAATGCCTCCAAAGACGACGTTCACGTGCAACCGGCCCTTCGTTTTCTACATTAAAGATAACGAGGCGAACAACATCCTGTTCATGGGTGTTTATAGGGGTCTTTGAGGGTCCTCTGCTGGACCTTGTTATCATTATGGTTGGCATTGTTCTGTTGATTTTAACGTTATTATTATTATCATTATTATTTTCTTGTTATTCTTGTTATTATTATTAAAGGTATTATCATTGTTATTATTATTATCATAGGTATTATCATTGTTATTATTATTATCATGGGTATTATCATTGTTATTGTTGACATAGGTATTATCATTGTTATTGTTATTATTATCATAGGTATTATCATTATTATCATTATTATTATTATGATAATTATCATTATATTAAATATTAATTGCATTCGATTGTTATTTTCTTATCTCTATTATTGCATTTCAACATTATCATTATTATTATTACAACTAGTGTTACATTTTCATCATTATGGTTATTATTATCATTACTACTGCTATTATTATAAACATTATTGTTATCTCATTATTGCCACTATTGTTATTGTTAGTGTCAAATTTTGTTAGTTTGCCTCCCCTCTTTAAAACTAACACAAAATCATCATTACCATCATTTTTATGCCCCTGACTATACCGTAAAGGACCACGTACTGAAGACCCAGAGGAGACCAAACACTGTTCACACCCCTTCTGTAAAGTAAAGTAAGCTATGCCAGAGTAAATCCATTGATATTAAGTTGCTTAAATAAAAGTAACTGAGAGAAAATAAACCCTAAAAGGTAATAGTTATTAAAACCACTTGGAATCATAGTTATGTAAAGAGCATTAAAAAAAAAAAAAAAAAAAAAGCGTGACCTGAGAATCAGATGAAGTATATCAACCTATTGAATCATAATCCTTCCTCAAAAAAGATATATCGTTGTAAACCAGATTAATCCTACTGACGCTCCAGACTGTTTAAAGCGTGCATTTTTCCTCTTTCCAAGAAAGAGGGTTAAACAAACCTATTTATCGATCCTAGTAGTGACATTGCTGAAACTTTTATGAATGCGCGTGTGCGTTAATGATCAGCAGAAACAAATATGGGCTGATCTTCCAGTGCGAGGTTGCCTTGAGCAGAGGCACAGGAAGCGGGATCGGCCGAACGAAGCCCAAGTCCCAAACACGAGGAAGGCCATCAGGAGGAAAACTGCAAGGAACTTCATTGTGATCTTTTTACTGTAAAGAAATCAAGTTATGAGACAAAGATAAGGATAGGTCCGATATGCGAAGCTGAGCTTCGCCCGGCCCTGTGCCAACTAATGTTGACTTGATCAACGTGTGTCAGCTAGTGCAACAGAGGTAGCAATTACCTCAGGGCGACAATTGCAACTTTTCACTACTGGTCGGGGCGCGTTACCACTGTACTATCCTGAAGGTTTAATGATAAGGCAGGTTTTTGGAGTATTTTATACCTAGGACATGATCTTGGGGGTCTGGGATTTGACGGACGACCTGGGGAACTAGATGGTTTGGGAAAGCTTTGGAACGTCATATGATTCCATCTGAATATGCAATAATTTGTTTGTTTGCCATTTCTAGGAAATTTGACTGAAAACTGAATTTACTACAAATTCCAATAACGTGGTTTGTCAGAGGGTGACTATGGGATCATTGTCAAATATCATTCAGGAAAACAAAAAACCAGGATTATTTTCTGATTTTTATCCCTATTAAAACTAACCAAAACACATTTTAAATCGTCGTCTGGAGTATACTGTAAACTGAAGATGTGTGTGTGTATATACATATTTTATGTATGTCATAAATATGATATATATCATATATATATACACATAAATACAATGTATTGCATACTATCATAATTCATATTATGTTTTACAAATATACCATATACATTATATATATCTTATATCATATACATTATGTATATCATATAACACATACATTATATATATCATACATCATATACATCATTTATATACAATATATTTTGTATTATATATATCATCCTTTATATATATTGTTTATACGATATTATATATATGATATTTATTATATATGTATATAAATTTTAACATATAAATTATATATATTATACATATATTTATATATTATATATATTATATTATATATTATATATTATATATATATATTATATTATATATTATATATATATATATTATATATATTATATATTATATATTTTATATATTATATATATTACATATTTTATATATATCATATATTATACATATACATATGTATATGTATATATATTGATTACTTATATTATAATTATTATATATACATAGATTCCATATATTATATGCATCATATATTATATACAGGTGGTCCCCTACTTGCGAACTTCCGAGTTAAATTTCGGTACATACGAACAAAGCTGTCAGGAGGGAGTGAGAGTAGCGCGCGTCGTAAACTATAGCTCTCTCACTGTACCCACAAGGTCTCATTCAAACGTGTGTTGTACGCTCTCCAGAAAACTTTGTGATTTTGTGATTATTTTTGTAATTGTATTTTTGCTAAATACGATAAAATAAAAGAGTTATGGCTAAATCTCTGACCCCCCCCCATCTGCCTCCAGCTCCGATGTTTACTTTGTCGCGTCTGAGCAAATATACCCAACATTTTTTTTTCGATTTATTTTGGTATTCTCTGGTAACTAGCTGGCAACTCTGTTTGCAGCACAGCTGGCAGTTACTACAAAGAGACAAGGTTGGCAGTCACCAGGAGAGAGCAGAGCAAGATGAATCCGTCCCATACCTCGGGCGACACCATCCCTGATGCGCCCTCATCACATAATAGGCCACTACTAATGATCAGTGTTATTCCTGTAACTAATTAACATAATATGATGAGAAAAACATCTCAATCACAGCTGCAGCAGTCTTTTATTTTCTATGAAATGCCTCGAGAAGCACTGCAAGCCTCTGGTGACCTGCGGTACTTCTACAATCATGTGCACTCATTGCCATTAGTCCTTTGGAAAAAAGGGGGGGGGGGTACACTTCAGAATACATGTGAATGCCATAGAATGCATCAAGGTTGACTCAGAGATCAGATTTCCAAAGAAAAAAAAAATGGAGGAAAAATATCTCAACTTCAAAGCCTGATATCTCAAAACTTCGTTCGTACTAGATGAATCGTTCTACGGTACAATATCGGTACAATACTCAAGAACAAGGATAAGATTATGGAACATGTGAAAAGTTCAGTCCCTATGCATTCTACTGTTATTAGTAAGAAACGTGGAAAAGTGATTGCAGAACTTGAAAAACTTCTGAGCATTTGGATGAAGGTTGTTCAAAGCACATTAAAAACCACCGAAAACCACTGCATTGTTTATACCGGAACGTCCGAAAGTAGAGCTAGTTGTACAGTAATCATAACATACCGTACGCCCTACTACGGACATACGAACAAACGTACTTACGAACAGCCTACTGGAACGGAACATGTCGTAACACGCGGACTACCTGTATATTATATATATACATATTATATATCATGTACACTATATATATATATATATATATATAATATATATATATATATATATATATATATATATATATATATGATATATGTATGTATCGTTAGAAGTTAGTAATATGTATAATATATCGGTACAAAGTGGTAATATATATCCTTTAAAGATTAAACTTAGCCTTACTATTTTAAATCTAAAATTAGAAAGCAAAAAAACGATTATTTGATGAAATGGAGTACAGATAAATTGTAACATTTTTTTTCTTCTTGTAACGAAATCATGACATAAAATACCTTAATATATATATATATATATATATATATATATATATATATATAATATATATATATATGCATCGTATCCACGCCTTCCTTCTCCAGACTCTAAAATGGGAATCCGTGACCTTTTCTCCCACCGCCGATCTGACCAACTTCTCACCTGACGGAGGACTACTGGCGAAGAGAGGGATCCACAAGGCCCTTGTAGAGGTGGGCCTTGAGCATCCTCTGTTGGACCTTTGTTATTATTATGGTTGGCATTGTAGTTGTTGATAACCATGTTGTTTTGCCTTCATTATTAATGTTTTAGTTTTGTAATCTATACTGCTATTGTTGTGGTTATTGTTTTTTTTTCAGTGGAGAAAGCGAAACATAGAATTTATCTGTATTAACGAACACTTAGTTTATAATTCCAAATCACGTTTCCCGCTGCATGTCCTGCTGTCAAATAGCATCATTGCAATGTAAACGTGACCCGAATTTGCAACATTCGTTTCCCGTTTTAATTACAATTAAATGAACGCTGTGTTTTTGTTTTGAGAATATCAATTGGTATCTGTAATGTGTTTATTGTATAATGCATTGCACGACTCTGCGATGTATATCAGCGTGAGTCCCAGGCGCCTCTCAGTAGTAGGTGAAAGTGCGTTGCGTGAGAAAGACTTCTCGCGCTCGTCTGTCACTTTAGGTCGCTGCGTTGGTGCTGGTGTCGAGACTCTCTTGGTGAGCACTGTGTACCGGTGTTTTGTATGATTTGTATGCTGATGTATATCATCGGCCGGTTTGTTAATACTGTGCGAAGCCTGATCCAATTATTATGAATATGAATGTAGACAGACAAATGCATATCTGCCGGATAGATAGATAAATAATGTATATCTATCAGATAGATAAAGAAATAAGCCTTTATTTGCATGTATTTATGTATGAATATTCATTGGGTCGGGCCTCGCACAATTTTAACAAACGTCTCGCACACGAATTTCAAGGAATCTTCAAGATAATTTCATAACTTAATGAAAGTGGTTAACATATGATCATATCACTAACCATTCATTAACAGTG